GACGCAAAAAAAAATAAATCCCAATAAAAAAAAAACAAAATAAACCCCCCCAATTCTTTTCTTCAAAAAAAAAAAAAAAAAAAAAAAAAAAAAGTAAATTCGGTTAACAATGAATAACAATTTGATCATATGTTAATTGCATCATATAACCTTTTAAATCATTCTCAAAATCTATATCTAAATCAGATCCTGTAATATATACATATATTAAAGTTCTTTTTCTAGATCGAAATTCAAATAATGTTTGTAAAAAATTTTTTTTGCCATAATTAACTTCAATTAATAACCTTACTAAAGGAGCATTACAATAATGAAGTAAAACATCATTATGAGAATTTGAATTTGTACGTAAAGTTTTCCATTCCAAATATTGTAATGTTGAAGGTAATAATTTTGCAACTCTCATAACGCGATTTTTAGTGACACCAACTTTTTCAGTAGTAACTTTTATCCATTTTAAAGTAAAGAATTTTAATCTTTGCAAACCTTGAATAAGTTTAGGAAATTGAGTAGAAAATCTGATAGAAGAGATATAAAGATATATAATATTTGGACAAAAGTTTGTAAGTGACTCTAATAATAAAGATTGAGAAAGAATTTCAAATTCAGAGTCAAGTTTTAATCTTTGTAATAAAGGTCCAGATCTTTCTAAAACATCTGATAGATTTGAAGCATCAAACTGACGAGTATTTATTTCCAGAATAGAAAGTTTGCAAAGACTAGTAGATAAAGATTTTAATATTTTTTGATCAGCATAAAAGATACGAAGGATCTCTAAATTTTCACAATAAGATAAAATTTGAAATTCAGAACTATTAGAACATTTAGCAATTTTAATTTCTTGCAATGATTTATGTTGAAAAGCTAGAGCAGAAATAATTCCATGTAATTCAGTACGGAAACCAGATTTGTAATTTAAGATAACTTTCCTTAAATGTTGTTGAGATTTAATAATATTTGCAAAAGCAGCATGTATCTGTTGAGCATGAGGAGAATTCAACACGTCGAGCTTTAAAGAATAAAGCTTAGTAGCACTTGCAGCCAAAATTTTTAGCAACATAATAGCCTCATCCATACTAATTTCAGAAGAAGCACCTTCTACAGAAACAGATTGAAGTCGAGAGAAAAAAAGTTCATTTCGACCTAATAAGTAAAAGATCTCAGGCTTGATAATAAAATCCGACAGATAAGCATGTAGATTTGTTAAAGTAGCACCACTCTTAATAAATACTTTAAGTAGTAAATTAGCAATTTTTGTTGAAATGCGTCTTCGCGGATCAGGATGTAGAAATTCGACCCATTGTTGAACTTTACGTACTAGACGAGATAAATCGAGAACCCTTAAAAATTTAGCATAATGAAATAGAGTAGTATTTGGGAACCTGAGAATTAAACCACAATCTCTTAGAACAGATTTTTCATCATCATCAAGGAAAGAAAAATATCTGGTTATAAACATTGGTAATCTATTAAAAGAAAATGGATCTCGCCACAAAATTGGAATTGAAGTCTTGCACCAATGTCGATTAACCAGAGCACAAGAGTATAAAGTAAAACATTCATTCTTTAAATTATTAAGAATGTTTTCCATAATTTCGGGCATATCACCCGTGAATATTTTTGACGCCATAACATAAAAAGTTTTTTAATTTTCTTTTTTTGTTTATTTTGGTAAGAATAAAAGAGTGGGAACTTTATTTTTGTGCTACTGTAAATCAATTTTTATAATTTTTATTGTAACACGTTACTCATGTCAATCTATTGGTAAATTCGGAGTTTAATAAAAAGGTTATTTTAAATTTTTTTGTTTACACAATGAATTTTAACCGTGTATAGTAATATAATAATTAAAAGTGAGAAGTGAGTCTTGTGCACGTATTCACAGAATATTTATGAGTTTTTCATATACAAAAATGAAAATCGATTAAATTTATTGATCGAACGTATTATATATATATATATTTTATCTAGTGTAAGACGTTCGTCGCATCAGTATGGACGTGTTTCTCTCGATGCGATCGAGTCCTTTTTCAACTATTAAAAAGTTTTACTTTATTTAACATGATTGATTCAGAAAAATCTAAAAACGGTGTTATTCTGACTTAAAATTTGCTGTTTAAGAAGCTTTTACTATATTTTGAATTGTGCTTATATCATTTTGTGTTCCTATTTTTGACATCAATTCCAATATAGGCTAACTTTTATTTAAAATCCAAAATTTCCGTTTATATCAATTCATTCTCGTTATATTAAAATCATTGGGCAGAAAAAAATCGACGATATAGCTTATATTGAAGAATACTATATGTTTAGTAATATCGTAATTCAAAAATCTTCCACTATATTCAATATATTGAGTTCACTATAACGAGACTATTAAAATTGCTTTCCTATTACGACATTCCGATTATTCGCATGGTAAAATCGAATCATTTGTTCGTCATAATTACGTACCTTTTTTCAAAAAGGTAGTAATTCATCAGAAAAACTGTAAATATACAAACTCAGATTTACTTTAAATAAAGAATTTAATTTGTCTTCAATTTTTTATAATATTTACTACTCGTATAAAATTTATGCAATATATGTTGGTTTTAACGTAACTTTTTATAAATTTTATCCTATTCCAATTTTATTATAACTTTCATTAATAAATTTTTGTAAAAAAAAAAAAAAAAAAAAAAACTTTTTTTTTTACCAAATTTAATTAATATAAAGCAATACCTGAATCGCAAATCAGATTTACACTCATGATTATGTATTTATTTATTTTTATTTTATTTTTTTTTTGACGTACTTGGTACTGTTGTCCATGATGCGAT